TACTATACACATGATTTTGCTTGTTGTAAAAAAATAAATTTTTGTTTCAATATAAAGCCAGCTATCGTTATCTAAGATTTTAGCAACAAAAAGTGAAAACTTATTTTATCACTAGCTGCTACCACTTCTTTACATTGAATACTCTACCTATAGTGCATAAAGATATCGCTACTTCCTTTTTACAAAAATTGCCCGCAATTGCAGATGCCACTTCCATGCAACCAATGCAATCATAGCAAAAGTATTCTGTTTTTCCTAGAAGTCTGCACAGAACTTGAGGTAAACTTCTAGAGATCCACAGCACAACCCTTAGGTATGCTGCAGTTACCCTTTGAGGATATTCAGATCATTCATATAGAGGGGTGCTTGGGATGCAATTTATTTTCTTATTACAGCTCTGGGAGGATCATGTTATTATAGCCAGCAGACCCTCAAACTTAGCAATACTCTGAGCCAGTTACTCCAATTGCTATCTCTGAATCTCTAGAACAGAAGCAGGTAAGAATCAGCAATGAAGTTTTCCAAAATCTAATTTTGTATATACCCGACATGAGAGGGCCGCTATTTATTCCTCAAATGTAAGATGTATAACAAGAATTATACATGAGTGAACATGTATCTCCCTAACCAAGGGCAGGCAACTGTGCTTTTGCACATACTTCACAAACTTCAAGACTATGCAGAAGGGCTTTTGGATCCTAGTGGAGGGACTTTAATATGGCCTTGGACCCTACCGCCAACACATTCTCTATGAAGATGCACATCTCTATGACCCACCTTAAAAAAGCTAGGCAAATGTTCCATAAAATAACAGCTCACAGATGTCTGGCACACCTCAGATCCTACTGACAGAGACTACGCTTATCTCTCCCCTCTACATTCCACCTACATCAGGATAGACTAATTCTTCCAGTCACAATGCCTGATTAGTTGGCAACTATGTTCCCAGATTGGCTCACAGAAATGGTCTGATTATTCCCCAAAACTATGTCTCCTTTTATATCCCTCATATGGCTAAACCATTCTCCTTGTTGGGATTAAAGAAACTTCACCTTACTGATATCCCTATTCAATTGGCAGTTAAAACAGTGATGGATAACTTAATATAAGACAATAGGCAGTATGAAACTGCTCTTCCGTCTAAATGCATTCTTCAAGGCATCTTAATAGCCCACAGTTCTTCTCTTGCGAAAAAAGAAGCCAAAAATAACTAGGATTGGTTCGGTTATTGGTTCAAATCCCAGGCAGAACATGGAGTTTGCTTGCTCTCCCTGTGCTTGCAAGGATTTTCTCCCGCACTCCAAAGACATGTTTTTAGGATTATTAGCTTTAGAATAATATACTGTATACCTGCGGAGAGAGGTATTCACTCTCCTTTTCCACCCTAAGCTTGAAAGAACCAGTAATCAACAAAACTTGGATTAAAAAATAGGTATCTAACAAGACTGGCCTACTTTTATTAGCTACAAGCAGACAAGTTGATACCTTTAATAACATGATTATTTGTCAAATCTTAGCCCATGTATGTTTACCTCAACCATACGTTACACATTCAGTACCGTTCAAAAGGAAACCCCATCAACAAACACAAAAAGCCTGAAAGATTAATACAACAGCAGCAGGAATCTTAGCATCAAAAACAAGCAAAATTATAACAAGTAAACCCAGAAAAAAAGTAGAATGAACTTTAGCTACACTGCACTTCTAAAAAAAAAATACCAGAAAAGATCTTATCATAGTGACATGTTGTTAGAATGTTGTTTAATATCACAGATAATTTGAGAATTTTTTTTTGGACTTCGAAAACACACAATTTTGCCAGTTCCATTCCCTTCAAGATCATTATAGGCCCAAAAAAGGGTTTACACCACTTAATTGGAATCTAGTCCATTTTTGAACACTCGACAATTTAATCCTGTGATGTGTTCTTGCTTCTTGTAAGAACATCCCTATTTATTCCCTTAAGCAAGGAACACAATGTGACTTGCCTTCTTTCAAGGATCTAGAAGCTGATACCGAGGTCACACATCACTACCAGCTGCCTGGCAGGTCAGCCAATTAATTTATAGTTATCTTGTAAAAGTTCCTGAGATCTTTCTCTTGGCAGAACACTACAGAGTGATAATATCCCAATAAATGTCATTCTTGATCAGCTCAGCTTGCACCATAACAAAAGCTATTAAAGGTGCAGTCCTGCCTGTATATTATTTTTTAGTTATCAATCTTATAAATCAGATAAAGCTTGAATTTTGCACACATATAATACAGGTCCATTTTTTTCCATTCTGCAGTGCATCTCAATGTCACTTCATCAATAGGTCGTTCCTCTGATTTGGCAAGGAAGTGCAAACCGCAACGACAACACGCAAAGTGCAATAATCCCCAGCAACCAATACGATTTTCTAGTTGACTGATGTCAAATCAAGGAAGCTTGCAAAGGGTTACTAACATTGCTATTTTCCTTACTAAATAACTGTGCGTGTGTCTTATTCTATCGCTTGATCAACGGGTTTTTAAACCATTACATACACATGGGAAGGTTAAAAAAAACAAAACACCTTGTTGGTGTTTTATAAACCGAGGATAAAAATAATAACTAAACCTACCATACCGGTGACCTTCTGAAACAAAGTGTATGACACAATATAAAAGAGCAGGGGCTTAAAAAATGAGTTTAGTTGTAATAAACCTGCCCCTCCCATCAAAAATGTACCATTTGTTAAAAGACCAATATAACAAAAATGATTGCATTTTGGTAACTATGTGGGTAATACCTGTAACAAAGAGTAAATTAGTTCCTTTTTTATTTTGCAAGTACTTATTTTTTATTTGTCTCCACATTTATACGCAAGTCAAGCTCTCCAGCAAAAGTGGGAGATACAGTGGTTGGGAAAAACCCCTTAACACAGCCAGGGGTGTGTTTACAATGATCGGCTCGTATCATTCCGTTTAAACTGTTCACAAGAGAAAAAACCTGTTGCTGTAACAGCTTAAAAAGTGTTAGTTGGAATCGTACTTGTTTGTTGCCCACTTAAGGTCCATCTAAAACTACAAAACTGCCCTGTCCACAGGGTGACAATGCAGTTGTACATTTCACTGCAGATCGAACAGCCTTGCCACCCTGTTAAAGGAAATGGAAAAATCAATGGATCTACTAACAGCATCAGCAGGTATTAAAACTATGCTACGGGTGGCTGTGTAATGCTAAAAAAACAGATATATTTACTCTGCACCGAGCTGACGTTTTGTTTACAATCTTGGCTCTCTGGTCCATTAATCTGTATCAGATATGGATGTGCATGTATGGGACATCAGGGAAGAAAGCCATGGTGGAGGATGTAAATAAAGCCATGACTGCCGTCACCCCATAGCTGTCACGGCAGGATAAAAATGTTCTCTGGGGTATATAAATAGGGCTATATTTCCAATCAAGAGGACAAGGGTTGGGCTAGAGCAGGTTTACCAACACTAAACCTTTTCTTTACAAATAAACTTAATGCAAAAATAATGATACTTTAAGATTGGCAATTACTTTGTTGCTGAGCTCTTTTTTGTTTAAATTTTAAAAGCACCTTGCAGTGTTACATTGAACTATTTCAGCGGAATGTGTTAGAATAAGAATAAGCACGACTGCATTGTAGAAAACATTGAGTGTCCTTGTGTTTAATAAAGCCATGCATTGACAGGCAATGACACCTTGGTGAGAACAATCCACTGTGAGACATAATGTACATGCATTCATTATTTAGCGTTATTTGATCTAAGTATATGTAAGGATTACCTACTTGGTAATTTAACCAAAGATACCTGCTACACAACCACATATTAATTTTCCAAGCGTTAGTTGTAGAAAAAACACAGTAATACGAAGAAGAATGATGGAAGAATCTTGTACTTTAAATAGAAATATAATGTGGACTAAAATAATTATATTTGATTAAAAAAGGGCACAAAAAGTCAGTGAAGGCTTTTAATACAATCCAGTTCGATCCCATTTGTTTATAAACATAAATAGAAGAAAAAGATTGTATAAGCCTTTTGGTTGTCCTCAGTTTAAAGGGTACTCATAGACATACAGATGAAGATGCCAGATGAAAATGATATGAGATGCCAGATGAAAATGGCTGGATTGGGTGACAATCTTATTTCTGTGGTAGACTGATGTGAAGATGGTTACAACCCTGACCCTACTGATTTAAACCCTCCTGCTAATAAGGTAACATCAGCATCACCCCCTTCCCTTCACCCTACTCTTTCCTCTTTACTATATCTGTATATTTGGCGAAGCTAAGTTTGCAAGCATGCTCTAAGGTTGATTTTGCCTGAGTATGGTCAAAAGTTATACAAAGCTTCACAAACCCATAAAGAGAACCTGTACTTTTCCCATTCAATCCAGAGTAGAAGGTGCACTATTGAGCCTGTACTTACTTCCCTCACACTCCCCTGCAACCTCATCTGCAGACCAGAGCCTTGAGTAAAACGTGACATATCTAAGCATGAGGGAGCATGTAACTTCATACTCCCACAATGCAGTGCTTTTTGCTGGAGTGACCAATTATTAGGCCCAAATGCTGTCGTGTTGAAAAAGGGTCCTTAGCCCTCAGTAAGCTTAGACCCATTGTATGGTCAGAACTTACAAAATGATTTTGGGGGACTCTGGCTGTCAAATGGAAGTAATGTGTGAAAGCAAACTGAGGCTTATTTCACAATAATTACCACTCCTGCTATCCAGCTAACCTATTACTTTGTAATAAATTGACAACATCTAATATCTAACCGCTCCTTCAGTCAGAAGAGTCTCCCAAAGAACTTTAGCTAACTATAATTTAAAAGGAAAAAGGTTCCCACCATCTACTTGTCCTAATCAGTCAAAGAGTGTTCATATGCTACCTGACTACTAGTGATCTGGTAACCCTAAGTACAAAATGTTTTGTGGTAGAGGCCAAATAATATCATGAAGCGTAGTATAAGTTCTACCCCTTATAGGTGATTGTACCTACCGGTGTGTGCGACTGTTCTGTGAGCTTCTGCTCCCACATTTTTAAATGCTTCTCTCGTTCTTTCAGTTCTTGCTCCTTAAAGCTCAAGTCTCGCTCCAACTTTTTCAGCCTCTCCAGTGTTTCCTCAATTTCACATCTGTGCATTAGAAACACAAAGCATTTGTGTATTCGTCAGGCAAATTCAGTAAGCAAAGTTGAATCTAACAAGAAAGGCTGTGGTAATGTTTTTATATTTTATATACATTTGCTGCGGATAAACTACTTTAATAATCTGGAAAAAGATGAGAAAAATGATGTTCTTTGAAGTTCTTTGTTAACTTACAATAACAGTTTAATTACTGAACAGCTTTTGTAGGTCCATTATCTGCGAGGCTATGAAATACGCAAAAACATAATACGTTTGGCAGAGAAATATAAAACTAACTTGTGACATTACAGCACTATGTTTGCACACTTTTATAGTTGCTTTGATGGCACATACAATTATCAAACAGGAACATGAGGTAATTAATACCAATATTAAAAAACTAATTCTAACACGACATACAAGAAGCTAGGAAAGCTCAAAAAATAGTTGACTCTGCTCATTGTATTTGTCTTCCCATGATAAGAAACCACTAGAACAGTCTGATAATAACCTGGAACAGTCTGGTGGTGATGGAGTCTTGTGAGCAGGATGGGACAAGGCAAGCTTTTAGGTATTATGATTGGTGTACATGTCCAAATATAATGGCAGTTGTAGTTTAAAGCGGACCTTTACCTCTTTCACTAAAAATCCACTCAGCGTGCAGCTCTGCATGCCGATATGAAATCAGATTACATTCATTAGTTAAACAAACATATTTTTATTTTACTTACAATTACAGTTTCTACTTCCTGGTCCTCTTTGGCAGAAATGGCGTAACTGTGCTCACGCATTGCATGCTGGGAAGGTTACATCAGCAGAGCATTGCTGGGACATCTCATGAGATCTCAGGGAAATGATGTGCATGGTCACATGTCCTGGTCACATGTGCCGGAGTTCCAGAAAGTAAAGGGAGATCTAGCAATGTGACCTTAATTAAAAAAAACCACTGTGATAAGAATGGGGAGGAAAAGAAAAAAAGGTATGCAAAGAATAAAAAGCCGTCAATTATTTAGAAGTATCTGTTTGTAGATTGTCATTACTAAACATTTCAAAAAGGTGTGTGCTTGTTGTCATTTCAAAGATATTGGTAAAGTTCCTCTTTAAGTAGTCAAGATGACTCTTCTCTAGTCTATCTATAAATATCTTCGCACGATTTGGTCCCTTCTATTTCTCCATCGGCTGCTCTAATCTCCTAGTTCTAAAGAACACTGTGTTTATACAAGTATTGATTGGATTAGTTGGTGGTTTTTTTTCAATTCTCTAGCTTTAAAACCATGAAGTGGATATTACAGAGAGATTTACTTTCTTAAAACTCAGGTTGTGTTTAAAAGTTAATTGAATAAAATGTGGACATTTTGTGTCGTAGGGCATCAAACACAAAGCAATGGGGCTTCCACAAAAACCACCTTTTGAGAAATTCTCTTGTTTGATAGACAGATTAAATATACCATATATGGTCTAATACCTAGCAAAATGACCCTTTTATTATAACTTTTTTTTTAAATAATAATAAAAGTGGGACACACACAGACCACATGGTACCATATTCAAACCTACAACAAAGATAAAAACAGCCTTTACAAAGGCCAATATATTTTTTTCCAAGCAATGCAGAAATATAGATTTGGTTGCCGCTAGGAATTAAAATATTCCCCACTGGCAATCGGTAGGCGGTCAGCAATGGGAATTGTTCCAGAAATAAGGATCTAAGCAACGTGATCAAATAAGTTGAAGATGACATTTTTATACAAAGATTTTGATATATCATGATTCAATTCTACATACTGTTCTTTTGACCTTTTTATAAGCTCAGAGCAAGCCTACTTTTTTTTTTTCGGCAAATGCCTCTCCACTGTCAACATTACAAAACCAGATGGACGGCCACCTATCACTTAAGACAGATCTGCTACAGAAGCACATAACGGGAGAAGGGTTTGATCTTGCCAAAGTAAAAGCTGAGACAGTGGTGAATCCTCATTAAGTGTAGTACTTACACAATGAAAGGTAAAAATATAAAGACAGCCCCCCCTCCCCCTTTTTTTTTTTTTTTGCGCTGTGAAAAATAAATTCGATTTCGAAATGCACAGAATGTTTTTGTGTATTTTTTTTTTATTTGAACCACTGAGGAAAACTGGGTTGTATTGACTTGCACTGTGGTGATATTTTTATATTTTTTCTACAACAATAACATAATTGGTTATGGTTGCAATAGGTAAAAATTAATTTTATTTTTTGAATAAAAAATAATAATTTCAATAAACTAAATTTAGAATTATGTCTGGCTCTAGGCTTCCATAAACCAGATGTGCATTATAACATTTGAGGGACAATTGGGGAAAAAATTCATCAGGATTACCAGGACAGATAGTTTTTATCCAGTTACTATTAACTGAATTTCTAGAAATGTAAATAAATACCTATCTGATTTGATCTGATTCAACTATTTTCTATTGTGCTATTTTTTAGATTATTTTTAACTAGCTCTAAACTACTGCTATACTATTTTTCAATTATTCATTTTCTCAATCTGGCAACCCCATAGAGCATGTCTTCTTGAATGCAATCAATTTCTGCTACAAATAAACAATAACTATTCATATCTTTGTATACAATGATTTTAGAGCCTAGTTATACAAAACAAAAATTGTAAGTGTGAATTGCTATGCTATTGGTTTGACAAACAAGCAATTATTTTAAACACTGGATTTAAAACACAGTGAATTGAAAGTTATGTATTAAAACATTTTTTTTTCTACAAATCTAATAAATAATGAACCGTTTTTTTTGTGTCAGAAATAATGAACCTTTATTGTCAAAAATAATAATTAAAACTAAGACCATAGAATTTGAAGGTACGGCCAATTTTATTCAGAATGTTATTTGTGACAATATAGCTGAAGGAATTTTTGTAATTGTAAGTACCATTCTGAAAAATATATTACATTATGTTTAGACACTCCCTCCTTGCAAGCTAGTTTGTGACTGTGAACGTTTTAAACATTACATTTGGTTTTAAATAATACATTTGGTTTTTAGTAAAAATTGGTAAATAAGGAGTGTGTCAGAAGGAGACCTGGCAATTAACAGTCTTATGAAGCAGCTTGTGTGATACAAATATTAATCACATAATTTTGCATTTGTAAAATACATAAATTACTTTCCGTTAAATGATTAACAAATTTATATTAAAAGATGCATGACACAAATGCTTGAAAATAACCTTTGGCTTCATTATTAGGTTGCTATGTGTACCTTATACAGCAGTGAAAAACTAGCTCTTTAAAGAGGAACTTTACATATCTTTAAAATGACAAAAAACACACCTTTAGAAATGTTTAGTGATGACAAGCTACAAATAGATACTTCTACATAATTGCCGGCTTTGTATTATTTGCATACCTCATTTTTTTCCCCCCTCCCCATTCTTCTGACAGTGGCCATTTTTGCTAAGAGCAGATTACTAGATCTCCCTTCACTTCCTGGAACTCTGGCACATGTGACTAGAACATGTGACCGTATACATCATCTCAGGGGAGGAAAATACCTTTCACTGAGATCTCATGAGATTACAGATGAGATTTCCCAGCAATGCTCTGCTGATGTAACCTTCCCAGGATGCAACGTTTTGGCACATTACATTATTTGTGCCAAAACTGGACCAGGAAGGGGATGAACTCTATTTGTAAGTAAATGAAAAACAAGTTTGTTTAACTAATGAATGTAAGATGATTTTAAATCAGCATCCAGAGCTGCATGCTGATGTGATTTTTAGTGAAAGGGGGTAAAGCGCTACTTTAAAATTTTGATGATGATGGTGGTGATGGTAGAACATCTACTTCTACAACGTAAATCATACTATAGCTACTACATTATTTTCTTATTACAGTAATCATGTAGTGTGCAACAGCAGCAACTTCTACCTTCATAATCTAACCTGTATAGGCAAGAATGATAACTTTCTTTAAAGCCTCTGACCACCAAGCACATGGGTTAATCTTGGGTGTAGACACTGCTATCTTGCCACCCCCATGACCAGAAGATCCCACATATGTACATAACATTCTGCTCTGTACAACATATCAGCAGATATGTGTATGTTAACATTAGAAATAGTGAATAAAGGAGTAAATGGGTAAGTTATTTTTTGACCAGTGACAAGATTTGAATATTACAAAGCAGTAGAGTTTTACAGCCTACACAACATGGATATAGAATATAAGATCTGATTACTGATCTAGTAAGTACTTCCCATTACCCACATTTCCATGTACACTCTTTAGTGAGTCTGAGATGAGATGTTCTTGTAATAAAAAAGCAATACTTTAGGCTTTGCCATAACACAATGCGCTCTAACCTTAACACCCCAAATTGGCTTTTTCTCCTAGTAGAAATATTTTGTGAATCAGGTATTACAATCCCAACTGGAAAGTCCCAGGCATTAGCGAAGGCCTGGAACTTTTCCCTTGAAAATCTCAGGCATTAAAGGAAAGCTATCATGGAATAATTTTATGTTATTATTTTTACATTTTTTAAAACTGATTTTCAATATCTGCTAATTGTATTACTGTTAATATAAATCTTTGGCAAAAAATAAACAAACACATTTAATAGAAGGTGAACCCAGCACAAAGGATTTAGAGAGCATTATGGGTTTTCAAAAGAGAGTGTAGTAGAATCTGTTTGCCTTCTTACGCCTTCTCTTTAATTGCCGTGTGTGTAAATTTCAGCTTGAGTTAAAAAGTTCAGCTTGATGTTAAAAAACAACTTTCTTTTAGCAAAGAATATAGGCACAGCTCAGAGAGCATGTGAAAAGAAGCCTAAATTTCCACCTGCTGGTTGAAAATGAAAATACAAAATATTATTATGCAATATTTCATACTTACCAGTCTAAAACGAAAAGATATTTAAAAATGTTCCTTTTTTTAACTCGAAAACAAAAAGAACAAATATATATATATACACACACACAGAAAATATATATATACACAGAAAAAAAAAAAATACATTTTATATATATATATATATCACCACTAAACGTCAATCATTCCTCAACCTTTTCTCTGTTTAATGATGTGATATGTGTTAATATATCTTGAGAGGCCAGTAATTAGCACACCATAAGCCAATAGATCACAAACAGATGAGTAAATAAACAAAATCCTGTATTTCAGTATGCCTATGAATTAAAAAGAAGTAAGGTAATCTGAAAAAGGCAATTGAAGCAAGACATCCCAAACATTTTCCATAAAGTAAAACATTTGAAAACAAAGTAATGGGCTAAAATACCACATAAATGCTGCACAGATGTTTAAATCAGATACAGAAAATATTTATTGAGCTTATTGCCAATAACGGAGGCTGAACTAATTACTAAATATGAGTTCACTTATTTTTATTTTTGATGCCTCGATTGTTTAAACTCTCTGCTTAATAAATGCAATGTAAATGCTGTGCGTGCATTGCTTGTTACATAAATCTGTTTTTATTTATTATTATGAGTTAGATGATGTCAAGTTCACATTTTACAAGGCATACATGCAGAAATCCATAAATGTCCTAAGGGTTCAAAAATGTTATGGAACGAGGTTTGCCAGTTTAGTTTTTTTTAAATGCACAGTGCATGCAGCTTGCATTCCCCAACAGCAGATGGCGCAAAACATTCTCAACATCTACTAAGCCATTCCTGCTTCTTCGCACAGTTGATTCGGAATAGGAATCATGTCAATGTTAAATCATGCTATTTATACTCCTATCATGTGATCTGGCTGCAAGCTCGTAGTCACTTTTTCCATTTGCAATGTAGCAGCTTCAACCTGCCGATTTCAGGTTTCAATAAAACAAGGATGTTGTTTGTTTGCTCTGGGTTCTCTCCGTCTCTCTCTGCTGTCAGTCTTGGAGATTTTGACTGTATTGCTCACATTTCATAAGAAGCTTTGAATATTCTTGGATCAGTGTAAGAGTTTTCCCTGGCCCACGTCCAGGCGTTCCTAATATAGCCTGCAGTGGGAAACTTGTAGTACAAGTCCCACTGGAGTTACAGATTTGTTTTCAATGTCCCTTAGCGAATGCTAAAAAGAGCAGATGCCTCCAGTTTATAGAGGACTGAGAGTGGGAGTCTGGGTTTTCATACAACGTCAAACTGGGAAAAAGTATTTTCATAAAACTGATTGTCTTAGCATGTGGGTAAGTTGTTAAAGTGCTAATTTTATTTTAAAGCTTATTCTTCGTACTTATTTATAAAGTGCCAAATTATCCCATGGCGCTTCACAAAGGAATCATTCACAATTATTCAAAGTTATTACAAGAATCACATACCATTTAAAGTGTATGTAAAGGCAAAATATTTTTTTTTAGTTTTGGATAGAGCAGGGAAGGGTTAGGCTGGTTGCCAAGTTTTTATTGTGGTCTATTTCACCAGTGTCACCAAGACAAAAAGTAAGAGGAAATTCTAAATTTTAGAGTTGCCATGAGAGCAGGAGGTGCAGGAAAGTCTTCCAAAGGAAACAAATGTTCTGGTGATACCTGTCTATGACGGAAGATTTCCTTTTGCTTCCTGTTGAGTCTACAAGACAGGAAGTGAAGGTAAATCTTCCCAGCGGAATATAGAAGACACATAATTAGCTGATTTCATCCCTTGCCTTCTCTATCCAAAACAAAAAAAAATAAAAAGATTCAAGCTTTGACTATACATACACTTTAATCCTTAATATTATACTCATTATTATTCTCATCCCTTTTGCCATGACAGCAAGAGGTGCAGGAAAATCTTCCAATGGAAACAAGTTCTCTGGTGACATCTAAGATGGGAGATTTCCTTTTGCTTCCTGTTGAGTCTACAAGACAGGACGTGAAAGAAAATCTTCCCAGCAGAATATAGAAAGCACAAAATCATCTGATTTGATCCCTGCCCTACTCTATCCAAAACTAAAAAACAAAAACAAAATGTTATACACGTTAACATTCACTTTAATCTTTAATGCCCCAGTTACACTCATACATGCAGCAGGGCTAATTATGGATAGAGACCTATACACCTACCAGTATGTTATGTTGCATTGTGGAAGGAAACCAGTGCACCAAACAATTTCCATATACAGTATACTCATGCCATATCCTTTAATAGGTATATAGTGGAGGTTTTGGTCCAGACATTAAGTTCCTTTCTCTGTCATCCCCAACATCAACTGCCAGTCAGTGGCAGTTAGTACATGGAGACACAAGGTACACAACTGTCATGTGACCATGTTCTACCAACTTCTAAAATGTTTTAAAATATTTAAATATGGTTAAACAGATCAATTTAATGTACATAATCCAATCAATGTGTGTTCATGGTTTAAAAACCTTGTATCTGTCTATGGTTTAAAAATAGCTGTATGGGCAGGTGGTCATATTCGCTTATTATTATATATGCAAAATCTGCTTCCTGATAGTGCCTTGCTGATCTGGTTAAGTAACAGTCTATCAAGTTAGGCAATAGGCTAATAAAGTACAATACTCTACTACTGCTAAAAGTCTACCACAAAGGGTAAATCATAATGATGGTACCAGAAGTCTGCAAACCTGGATGGCTACAAGGCACAGTAGAAGAAGAATGTCCATTGTGATATCATGGTGTATCAGCTGCCAGAACCTAACTATTTCTATGCTGAATCTTTTATTTGAGTTGAGCTATGCTTTACAGAGTATTTCCAGGCAACAAGTGACATCAATCAGTGTCCTCCTAAAAAAAATCCAAGAAACACCACGACTGCTACAGTTAGAACGTTCAATGTAATCCATTGCAGTCAGGTTCCCCACAGCTCCTTACATGGGGGAGGTCTACGCCCTGAAGTCTGCCCTGTACACATTCTCTCCGTTTAAAGTATCATCGATCAGACTGAAATATTCAAGGCAGATCTGATTCTGCCTGGCAGTTATATAAGTATTGACATTTTGATACAATAGGCATTCAGTCCTAGAGAAGCCCCCTGTATGCATTTCAAGGCTTTCAAGGGTATGTCCACTTTTGTAGCCAAATTTGAGAACCTTAACCCTTGCAGTCAGATCACACCCTATACTCTTGCACCTAACCCTTGCAGTGCAGGGTAGCCCCATTGCAAGGGTGAGTTTTTGAGTAATTTAGATTTTTTTTCTAAAGGCCAGTTTAGAGTTCTTCTTTAAGTAGAAATATTTTTTTAAAAACAGTAACGGAGGTGACAGCTACGGTGCAACAACCAAGACCACTAAAAACTAAACAAAGGGCCTCAGGACACATATGTAGCATTTTTATAATAAGCCTTTCCCATGATTTGTAACACACATTCACGTATGGTATAACACGTTATTTTTTTTGCTTATGTGTTACGCAAAGTGGGGAAAACTCTGTCAACAAACACAGCCTAACCTATTCTTATGAGAGTGTAAAATTCGCCTGTTATCTTAATAGGCATGGGTTGGTCAAGAGGCCTCTCTCTTAATGGAAAGATTGGTGGAAAGATTCCCTTATGCAAGCTTTTTTTTTAAATGATTTACCATTTATTACATTAGACCTGATTAAGGCACAAATATTTACGGCAACCAGGATTTGTTTTTTTTTTAACGTAAAAGCATTGAAGCCAGATGATGTGAATAGAGTCCTCAGAAATGAATGGGATTATACACATGAATTGCATTTTGCCCTTTATAAGGACATGTTCACACTTCAGTTTTCCTACAGTAAAATGTTTATGTCTTACTGCATGAAAATGCATTGCAAATAAAAATTCCAATTATTACTATGAGGGTAATTTATATCTAAGTGTTGTAGCCCAGTGCATTGACAAAGACAAGACATGCAGAATTTTTTTTGTACATTGCACCCGAATGGTGAACACACAAAAACATGTACTTTAGTCACTTTTTTTTTTTTTAGCATATTTGCATAATAGAAAATCAAAAATGTTTTCACTAATCTTCTCCAACTCTTAATAACACATGAACAAAGCTGTGTGTTTATGTTTTCCTGTTTATAAACACACAAAAAACATGCAAAAACACACTTTATTTTTGCAAAAATGCATGTGCTATTATGCATTACAACATACATTATTGTGTGACCCTAAAGGTAAACATATACTCAGAAGCTGGCAGCATCTGAAAGCAGGTAACAGAAAAATAGACAAAGGGGCACTCGATTTTACCGGAACATTGTAGCTATTGCTATTTATTATTTCAGTTCACCTCTTTCTACTCTTTATTTGCATTGAGCAGCACTATTAATATTAATCCAGGTAATTCGATCATCAGAATGGCCATTGCAATATTAAGTAACTCAGGAGATTGCTATAAATAATAGAAGACGGTGCCACTTGTATGATTGTGTAAATGAGAGCAGATAATGATCTTTGCATGTTATGAAGATGATTAATAAAAGAAGAGAGCCTTTGATAATAATTTTGATGTATTAAATGTTACCATACCTCCATTCTGCCTTGTTATGTAAAAATGAATTGCACTGGTCTGGCAGCTTGCTGTCATTTGACATAGTTTCCAAGTTTGCTATTATTTGTTTGAATGATGGTCTTTTCTGAAAATAGAATTAAAAAAAAAAAAAAGGTTTTTGAAGCTACAATAAATAGACAGTAAAAACAATGCAGCAGTGAAGGGTTAAATGCCTTAGCCAGTACTATTTTCTGTCTGTTCCCTCATTCATAAGATTTTTGTCCTTTGCTTCCTGTCCTTGTAACACAGGGGCGCCCACTATTTTTCGTCTGGAGATCTACTTTTCAAATGACGAGCTCATTGAGATCTACCAACGAAAAAACACCTGCATTCAGGGGCGTGAGGGGGCGTAGGCTGCGCAGGCAGGCCCCTTGCCCACAGTGCGATCGCCTGCATTAGTGCCTGTGTTCCAGTCCAGTGCGATCCGCAAAAATGCTGCGAGCACTATTTTTGCAGATCGCACTGGACCGGAATGCAGGCACTAATGTGCCTGCGTTCCGAGTGCGGTGATCGCACTGTGGGCGATGCCATTGTTTTTTTAATTTCTTTTTTTACTATTTTTTATTTTATTTTCATTATTTATTTTAAATTTTCATAATTTTTTTTTACAGGTTTCAGATGAGAAAGGATGTGACTAACAGCATTAAACCTCTCTGTTTTAAGTGCCCCTTGCTAGCTTGAGATTTTTGTCAATGATAGCTGTCAGACAGGACAGTGCAGTATATAGCCAAAAATGTGTGGATACGTGACCATCACATATATGTGAGCTTGTTGGGCTTTCTTATCCAAGGTATAAAAATGCAGATCTCCAAATTAAACCTCCTGAATACAGAACATTCTCAGCTTGAGTCCACTGCAGAAAATAATGAGCACCTTCAGGATAGTTGTGCACATGACTGTGGATTTTTTTTTCCTATCAGTTCCATATGGTAGAGGAACAGTCATCTAACGTCCATAACAAAACTTGGAAATTCAACAAAAAAAAAAAAAAATACTTGAGCAATTTAATGTAGCAACTGATCTGTCTTGTTTTTTTTTGTTTTGTTTTTTTACAGCATAAGGGTTTAGAAAAAAGGTTGCTACACAATGCAAAGCAAACCCAATAAACCTCATCCCTAATTACCTTTGCATCAGCATCCCAGCACTGGCGCATGAGTTCTGCAAAACTTCTCGGACAGGAGCTCGGAATGGTCAGCCTCTGAAAATGTCATGTAACAAAGGTGCCCTCCAGATTAGATGAAACAATGCTAAAGCTTGGTTAGTTAACAGTTTTACTAGCCTAATATTTTTATGGTGGCAGAGAGAATACAACAAAATAACAGCACACACAACAATGCTACAGCTGGGACTTTCACAGCAACTTAACATTGGAGATTTAGACTGTTACACATAACTATTCCTTACTGGTTCTCTTTATTAGACTTCCTGGAGCTACAGGGCTGACCTAAAATGCCCAGACCAGAGAGAAGCATCAGGGAAGACAGCAGCAAATTGCGATTTTCAGTTATTTTATCACCCATTTTAGATCAGCCTCAAACATCCAGGAGAATTCTGCAGAGATAATGACATTTTCTATGTATGTCGTCTGCATGGTGTCTCTCTCTAATTTTCCCACCCTCATTCCCAAACCATGACTGGGGAGGGGCGGGGCTTAGGATAGCCATCTGCTGACAATCTCAAAGTTTTTGAGTTGTCACAGGAACAGGAGGTAGGTGCAAATCTCCCAGTAGGGATACCTGTTCCACTGTGTAAGTGTGTAAATGATTGAATTGCTCTTATTTTCAAGACTAAAGGTACAACATTATTAGATAATGTTGTAATTGGTGGTCCTGGGATCATGTTTTGAGTTCTTTCCAATAATCCTATTGAAAAACATTGAGCTTCTTATCAACTATACGTGGGCAAAAGCATAAAACAAAGGGTCAAGGTGTTATATAGAGCAAATATGTCAATAATAGATAAAACATCTTGACTATTACTAATTTTAACCCCTGTCATTTACTTATTGCTGCCTGTGTCCTTCAGAAAGATTTCTCTTCATTTTTTTTGTCCCAGAGACACAGTAGGAATTAAGAGGAGATCACTCAACAGCGAGAGGGTATTCCCTCTTACACAGCGGCACAGGGCTGCACACACGTTTAACCCTAACGTTTCACCCCTACACACAGGGGCTTCCTCAGAGGGACGTGTGGTAGAGATCTTCCATGGGTGAATCATAGAGATCTTGGATTTAAACGTG